GAAACGGTGCACAAACAGACTGTTTGAGTGCGTCTTTATGAGCCTTCTTTTCATGCTCCGTCTCACTCGGTTTCCACTGACTCGAGGTGAATTTTCGGCATTTTTTGAATTCGGGAACCAGACCTAATATTATCCCAGTTTCCTATTTACTATAATTTTAATTTGAATATGATTCGAAATAGAAAAAATAAATCTATTTTAAGAGGTGGTGGTGGTGGTCAATGTAGGTCCCGTTTTTTAATCAAATTAAACAAAAAAATAATGAATGTATTTTTTTTCAATTGTTTCGTTATAAGAAAGGAATTAGGGTTTAACAAAATAAAAAAATTAATTTAAAAAACAGAAATACATTAAAATGATAGAAAAAGTTTAAATAACATCCCATCTAAATAATATATACAGTTGGGCAAACAAACATTCGCCGAGCAAATGAACATTATCTCAAAGAAAACTAATTATTTTATAGTTATATTATACCAATAAACTATACATGTATAATAGTCAATTTTCTAAAATATTTGTTTTATAATGTAAAAACCATATTTTTTAAAAAATATAGGAATTTCTTTGGGCTAATGTTTATTTACCATACTGCCATAATAAACTTACAATGTACTTTTGTGTCTATAAATAGTCATTTTTAATGTATATGTATTTGTCTGTGTCAAATTATTTTTGATTCGATAGATGAATTAAATCATGTTATTATATAATAATATATGTTAGATAATTTTAAAAATAAGAAAAAAATGGTATTTAGTATAAGTATTTTAAAAATAAATCAATAATTCGAGTTTTAATTTATTATGGATATGTTAATAATTTAAAAGTTTAACTTATATCAAAACTTAGAAAATAGTCCATTATTTATCAATAATTTAAAACAACATTCTTTTTTTGAAAATGATAATTATACATTATACAAATATACATATACTTTTAATATTATTTTAAAAAACAATATTAAAAAAATCAAACAATACTTGCTTAAAAAAAGCGAAATAAAACTTACAATTCTAAACCAAAATGGTTTCTTTTCTTGTTATTCTACTAACTGTAACATTAGTAAGTGGTTATACTTGTGAATGTCTACCTAGTGGTATTAGTTATGACGAAGGTTTTAAAGCAGTGAGTGGCACGAACAATGACTGTACTTCTCCGCTTAAAAAATACATCTGTTTAAGTAGTGACTTTATTTTTACTGTTTCTAATGAAATCTTGTTGTTTGATTATATAACTATCAGTAAGACGGTCTCAATAACACATATAAATGTTGGATGGATTAATGTGAAACACATCCAATTTACAGAGAACTCGATCACCAATTTCAAAAATTGTCCATTTCACACTAACACTGAATTTGTAGTTAATAGTGGAGCTACTATAAACGCCAATATACACTTTTCTATAGCAGGCAATTTTAAACCAACATCTCCAAAACTGAATGCACCACAAGTTTTATTAATAGATTGCACATACTTCCATTTAAACAAAGGATTTAATGGAAGGGACAATTTCACTGTAGTGAATCCGATAGGCAACACTCAGTGTTTTGACATGTTTTCTATGCGCGAAGGACAAATCCTTAATTCCCCACAACACTCATTTACAACAAGTATGTTTCCTTTTCAATTTACAGATGGATACGCCTACCTATTATCAAATAACAAGTTAATGCGATTTTGTCCTAATACAGCTTCAATCAATTATAACGTGGTTTGTAGAATGAGAGGAAATACATATAAAAAGGAGTTTTTATATGGAAATTCAATAGAGAATTACCCATTTGAATATCCACATTGTCCATGTGACAACGCTACAGCCACAATATGCAGTTTAATGTTCGACAAAGAAAATGAAACATATGATTTTGCTGGTGAGACGTTAACTACCACGACTCTTATCGTCGACAAAAATGTCAATTGGAAAAGATTATATGGAGTTTCAGCTATTACAGTGAACAATAATTGTATATTAAAAGTTGACAAATTTTGGACGACGATTCGAGTTGATTTCACTTATGGGTCTTGTGTTATACCACAAACAAATTATACGACAAGTGGTCTAACTTTGTTCTTTAACAATAATATAAAGAAAATGAGTTGTATTGGATATATAATTATGAGTATAATTATTAACAAAAACAATAGAGTATTTGCTTTGGATTGTGAAGGATTGATTAATACCATTAATACATATGGTAACATTTTTGTTCATGTTACTAAAAAGGTAAATCATATAAAATCTGTTTCAACGACTAACACTCTAACTAATGAGTATAACGTGTTTTATTTTGAAAGTGAAAGTATTTCAAATGAAGTCCTCCCCAATTGTATTTTAATGAAATCATTTAACAACACAAATACTTGTTTAAAATGTAATTCAAAGACAAAACTGTTATATGGAAAATGTACACAAGCAGATGTCCATTGTGTTGAATATAATAAAAATGATGTGTGTATACAATGTACTGAAAAATACTATTTAAATTCAACACATCAATGCGTTCAAACCAAAAGTGACTGTTTGCGACAAGTCGGCACTTTTTGTGTAAAATGTGACACAAATTATTTTGTAGAAAATGGGAATTGCATATTAAAATCCGACTGTCTATATGGTGAGAGAAACACGTGTTTAAAATGTGTCAATGGAAATCAAATCGGGAAATGTTTAAAATGTGACAGTACAAATTGTGAAAAATGTGATTTAAATATATGTACTATTTGTAAGCAGAATTACATTAAAAATAACAATTCTATTTGTTTTAAGGAGGAAAACACAATTTCAAGTGGAGTGAATTCAATTTATTGTAGTGATAATTTTTATATGAACACCTCAAAGTGTCTCTCATGTAATACTAGAGATATCAAATGGATCAAATGTGATATTCAAAAAGCGCTTTTGTGTTCTGAAAATTACAAAACAAATGAAAGTGGAATTTGTGTTTCAACACTTTGTAAAGACAACGAGAAAAAAGAGGAGAATGGGAGATGTGTTAATTCTAATACAACTTGTGAATTTACAGTGAATAAAAAATGTGTTTCGTGTGCTTTAAATAATCATTTAGATAATAACACGTGTGTAAACACTGACATTCATTCAATTGAAATTGAAAAGTGTTTACAAGTGAATATCTTTCAATGTGTTCGTTGTGAAGACAATTATATTTTAAATAATGGAAAGTGCATCACTTGTGAAGGAAATTGCTCAACTTGTATTTCAACGCCTTCATTTTGTTTAACATGTCAAAACGGATTTTATTTGAATAATCAACATGAGTGCATTTCAAATGAAATTTTAGCAGAGAAATGTGAAAAGATGTCACAAGTAATAAATGGGTGTTATGAGTGTAAAAATGGGTATTTCAGACTTGGTCTTGATTGTATATAATGTCAATCCAATTGCTCTACATGTAACACCGAAACAAAGTGTTTAACATGCAATTCTACCAACTACAAAACAGTAAATGGGTTGTGTTTACCACAAAGTAATATTAAAGGGTGTGAAGTTAATGTTACACAGAATGGGTGTTTTAAATGTCAAGATGGATATTATATAGTGAATACCAATGAATGTGAAAAGTGTCATGATAATTGCAAAACATGTTCATTAAAAACTACTAAATGTACTTCCTGTATATATACACGTGTTTTACAGTCAAACGAAGTTTGTTATGAACTCTCCCAAATAAAGAAGTGTAAACAAATTGAAGACTCAAAATGTACTCATTGCTCTTTTTGGAATGAACCCAATGAAACGGGGACTTTTTGTCGAAACAAGGCAGTCTGGTGGGTCATACTGTTACTGGTTTTATTTACAATTCTTCTACTTATTATTTCTATAATATTATTATGTTTTATAACAAGAGTGATATTAAGAAAAATGTCACAAAAAAGTCTAGAAAAAACAACGACAATATTTGCTATGAAAAGATCGAATGTGACGTTCTTTGCCCTTTCCAATGGGATGTGTGTTGATCGGGACACACTCATTTATACCAATGAAATTAATGAAGAAGAAGAAATTCGAGTTTGTCACGAAACAAAAGGACTTTTATGTGTTGGAAATTCAAAGAACAAAGCAGTGAAAGTGCAATTTTCGAGTAACACAAATGACGAAAGTTATACAATACGAGTCGACCCAAATATTATCACTTTAAAGCGTGGTTTTGCCTGTGAATTTTCTATATATCTGATGCCAAAGTACACAACAAATATAAACAGTGACATTGCGATCATATCAAAGTCGTATGAGAGTGGCGTTGAAGCTTTCAACAAAATTAAAATCATTGCAAAAACAGAGACCACTACGCGCCTTGACCCAAATGAAATTATTGAAGAAAAGAAAATTGGGGAAGGATCTTTTGGAGTTGTTTATAAAGGCAGTTTTAGAGGAAATGTCGTAGCCATTAAGAAGATGAAAGAGACAAATATCATTGAAAAAGGTGATGATGTCTTAGATGAGTTTACAAAGGAAGTTGAGATGCTTGACAAATTTCGGAGTGAGTATATCGTCCATTTTTATGGCGCTGTATTTATACCGAGTAAAGTGTGTATGGTCACCGAATTTGCCTCATATGGGTCGTTACAAGACTTAATGAAACATAAAACTTCAAGTGAAATTGACATGAAAATGAGAGTGAAAATGATGTTGGATTCTGCTAAAGGGATGTTGTATTTACACCAAAATGGGATATTACACAGAGACATCAAACCAGACAATTTTCTTGTGTGTTCGATAAGTGAAAAAGATAAGGTAAATGCCAAATTGACGGATTTTGGAAGTGCTAGAAATGTCAATATGTTAATGACTAACATGACATTTACAGCGGGTATTGGTACTCCTAAATATATGGCTCCAGAAATATTAAAATGTGAAAAATACAAAGAAACATCTGATATGTACTCTTTTGCTATTACTATGTATGAGTGCTTCCAATGGACAGAAGCGTACCCTAAAACGTTTTTTAATTACCCCTGGAAAATAGCAGAGTTTGTAACAGCTGGAAAACGACTTGAAAAGCCTGAAATGATTCGACAAGAATTGTATAATATCATCACATCGTGTTGGGGACAAAATCCAAGAGAAAGATGTTCTTCTTCTGAAGTAGTTGAGCAACTTAAGTTATATTTGGGTATTTGAATGATTGTGTTATCATTGTTATTTATTTTTATTTTTTATTGAAAGTAATCGATTGACTAAAAATTGTATAATTAATCAAGTGTAACAATTATATATTAAATAATAACTTATTGAAACCATGAATATTATATACACATAATATAAACAATTCGATTAAAATGGACATTCATTTCTTGAAATAGTTTCACGATTTGTTAGTTTAAGTGGCAATGGTTTGAACATGACTTTTTCATCACATCTAAGTTTGTCATAATTATACACTTTATCTCCACATGGTATAGCTTTTGGATCATTGGGATTTGTATTAATATCGTAACATATTTTAATTTCAAACACAGAGATTTGATTTTTACATACTATTGATGGTTGTACTCCAAAGTGATTTTTAATAACTTTGGTAATATCTTCCAATTTATACATTTTATTTGTTTCAACATGTAGATAACTTTCTTGGAGTATTTTCCAATAATCGCTTCTTTCATGAAGAAGTAAAGTTGTTTTTACATAATCTAAAGGACCTTTAACCCCTTTATATACACTAAAAGTACAACTGCCATGTTTGTCATATTGATAAGTAGCAAACCGACAAGCAGTTGTTGACATCCATTTGTTCCGCACTTCTTTTAAAAGATCTTTTTCCATTAAAAGTAGTGTATCAAAATTATCAGGACCATACCAATTGATACAACAATACAAATTCTTGTTTCTGTGATAATGAGGCCAAAAACCATGAATATAAAATCTTTCTTTAATTTCTTCTGTTGTTTTTGGAAAAGTACATTCTTCGTTTTCACATTTTTCTCCAAACCAGTATTCTGCATAGACCATATATTCATGTGGTGCGAGTTTTTTGTATTCTCTACACATTTGAAAACTATCCAATTTATCCAATAACGCTTTTATTTGAATAATTTCTGGAGGAACTGGTATTAAAGTAAATACACCAGGTTCGGATTTAATATGTGGGTGTCTTTTTGATTTAGTTTGAGGATCCTCTTGTTTTGGAGCTTTTTGTACAATTTTTTGTTGTGGTTGTTGTTTTGGAGTTTCTCTCTGAGTTGTTTTTGGTCTTACAACTTGTTGTTGTGGTGGTTGTATTTGTTGTTGTGGTTGGTGTGGAACAATTGGCTGTTGTTGAGGAATGAGAGGAAATTGTTGTGGATTAATTTGTTGTTGCTGTTGAGGATATTGTTGTTGATAAAATTGTTGTTGGGAATGTTGTTGGTAATAAGTTTGTTGTTGATGAGAAGGTTGAACATTTGTATGAGACGTGCTTTCAAAGTGTTGTTGTGGAACAAAATGTTGTTGATGAGTAGGGTATTGTTGACCCAAATTGTGTGTTGGTTGTTGTCGTTGATAAAAAGGGCGATATGGTTGTTGATAAATTTGTTGTTGTTGTTGTTGTTGTTGTTGTTGTTGTGGATATAATTGTCCATGAACACCTGGATAATAATAATAATATTGTTGTTGTTGTTGGTTTGGATTATAGTATTGTTGATAATATTGATGAGGTACTTGTTGTTGTTGCTGTTGAATTAAACCACTTGGATGACCTTGACTTTGAAAATAAGGAAACTGTTGTTGATGTTGTTGATATGTTTGTTGAGTATGTCCATATGCAGGGTATTGAGGAGGAGTTCGAGAACTTTCCTCTTTGTGTTTATCTGGTTGACCGAGAACAATGGATATAACCAAAAAGATGATCATATGAATAATAATTCCCAATTCCATATTTGACTTCTATTTATTTTACAAGTTAAAAATTAAGTAATAAATTTAAAATTTAAAATTATAAATACTATAATTATTTGATTGTATTTGTAAAACAAAAAGATAAAAATAGAAATAATTCAAAAAGTAGTTTTATACAAGAAAAATAAATAATGAGTGGGTTAAAACAATGTTACAAGTTTTATGTTCATAAAATGATTAAAAAATATTGAAACATATTTTAATGTTAAAAGCGTTGTTTCAATTATTTCCCATTTTATAGTGTTTACTTTATTTCGTGTTGTTTTACCTTTAAATTTGATTAAAACTATAATAACTTATATTTAATTATTACTAATAGAAATATATATCAAAAATAGAACTTATTCTTCTCTTATTATGATACTTCTTTTTCTGCCAATTGTCGTTTGAGTTGCATCACAGCGTTTTGGTCTTTTGCCTTTGTTAACGCGAATTTTTGATTTTGTTGATTACCAGTGTTCCACACACACAGTTCTGTACCCGCCTTTTTACCTCCTTTAACGACGTCCAAACAGAATAAACTGTGTGCGCACAAAATATTAACATTTCCGTTTTCCGTCATTTTTAAAGTCCAGTGGTTTTCCTCCAAATTTTTGTTGTTATTTGTTTGTTTGACACTTTCCCCAACTTTTTCCTTTTTCCCCTTCGCAACACCCAAATATTTCCCAGTCGACAAATTTTGGATTAACACGCAATTGGGGTGGCCCTGACTTCTGAAAGGGACAAATTGGAACAACTGGTTTTTAGCTTGTTGTTTTGTCCATAGACATATTTTGGTATTATCATCGGCACTACCTCGTGGAATGTCAATACACAACCCGTCACAATGTGTCGGGGATATTTCATAGGCCTCTTTTGTTAAGATGTTGGGCAAAATGTATTCCTTGTCTTTTTCCATTTCGTAAATCACTTTACTTTCACGTTCAGCTGCAAGTAACCGTTCTTCAAAGAGTTCATTTTCTCGAGTCATTATCATTGAGTATTCCGGTTGTACAGAACACTCTTGAAGTAAATTTTGAAGGGTATGGATCTGGGAAAGAACTACATCTTGCGATAAAGTGCACTCTGGATAACACTTCAAAGATGTCAGAAGAGAAAGACAAGAAGATGCACAAGACACATATTCAGAACGTTCGTGTTTTTGAAACATTTTTTATTGTTTTTCGCTAATTCTTTTTAAATATATCACACAAATTGTAAGAAAAGTTTGTAATTGGGTCTTATTGGTTGTAATTTGTTGCAAAGAGCCAAATTCATTTTATTGCTTCTCGTTCTGTTTTTTCAAAAAACAACAATAACACATTTTTTATTTTATTGTTTTTATTTTATTAAAAATAACTATAATAGTTTGTAGTAATAATCCTAATATTTTTATATATTATATTATATTATATTATATTATATTATATTATATTATATTATATTATATTATATTATATTATATTATATTATATTATATTATATTATATTATATTATATTATATTATATTATATTATATTATATTATATTATATATGTTGTCTTTAATTAGAAACTGTATTATATAATGGCTATAACACAACTCAAACACCACTTTGAAATTAAAATGTCATTCAAACAATTTTGAGAGTAACAAATAAATCTCCTCTTTTTCGATTTTCGTCGAACCACCCGAATCCTTCAATTTTAAACATTGAATTGTTTTGCACGACGATAGTTACTGTTTGATTGTAGTCTAATATTTGAAGTGGTAAATTCACTTTTTGCCCCTCGAACTGTTTTGGTACATAAATGGTTTTCACTAGATTAGTCCCATCTCTAACAAGATCATTTTCGTCTTCCATTAATACTTTTAATTCATATTTTTGTCCACCTTTTCCATTGACTTCTCCAACACCTTCAATTTGATATGTGACGGGGGCTATAGCAAATGATGGCATATCAAATTCAATAACAGTTCCATGGACATCTACTGAGAATTTCCCACCGCTTAAGAAAAGCAATTGAGGCGCTTTGATTTCTACGGATTCGGTGAGAATGGTATCCTTTTCGTTTTTTTCATCTTCCACTTTTTCTGTTTTGACTTTTTCAATTTCCATTTTTTGAATAATTTTTTGGTATTGCAAAATTTGAGAATTTAATGAAGAAACTTTTTGTGATTGTTCTTCTAAACTCATTTTTAAAGTTTCAATTTGGATTTCTTTATCGGTATCAGTTGAGTTGTTTTGAGGTTCAGAAATTTGTTTCTTTAATCCTTCAATGAACGATTGTTGCTGGGAACTATTAGTATTGAGTTGTTCAATAATTTGTTTATTTTGGTTATTTTCTGTTTTGTAATTTTCAAGTTCTTGATTTTTATTATTCAGATCTAATTGCAGTTGATTGAGTTGTTGTGTAAGTTGTTGTAAATAATTGTTCAAAAGTTGATTTTCATATATGATTTTTTCAACTTCGACTTTTTCAATTTCCATTTTTTGTAGAATTTGTTGGTATTGCAAAATTTGAAAATTTAAATGTTCTAATTCTATTTTTAGAGTATCTATTTGTGTTTCATTTTCTTTTTCGTCGTTTTGGAACTTTTTGAGTTCTTTCTCCAATTCCTCAATCTGCTTATTTTGTTGTGAAATTTTGTATTCAACTTTGTGCTCGTCTTTCTTTTCAATGGAATTTATAATTGCTGTGTTTCCAAATATTTTCGATGAGAAATTCACTTTGTCTGGTCCCATTTTTATAAAAAAGTTGTTTTTGTTAAATAATTCAAGAGATGCACGAAGATCATTGAAATTCCGACTTATATTTTGGAGTGTTTCCCATGTAATACATTTTGATGTAGGTACTTGGTGTAAGTCTTTGTAAATTAATAGAACACATTTCCCAATAATATTAAGAGGAAGTAGTTTTGAAAAGGTTGCCATCATTTTTTCACACAAAGAAATCAAAGAGTCGATGTTCTTAGTGTTGTTAATATCGTTTTTAATATTCCGAATTAAATCATATACTTCAGAATAGTTGATGTTTAAAGCAACTGTAACAGCATCAGAAAAGTACTTTGATGGGACTTCAAAAGCTAATTTTTGGTATTTAACAAGTTTTTCTAATGAATTAAACGACTCAAATGGTTCGACACTTAACTGACATTTTTTTATAGTCAATACATCAAGTGCGTTAATAAAACTTTTGTAAAGGTCATAATAGACTTTTCTGACCTTTAAAAAATCTTCTGGTGTTTTTGTTAGTTCAAATAAAGCAATCATTCTCGTATAAGACGATGATAGAATAGCAGCAGTTAACTCTTTAGTCATTTGATTTTGTAACTATTTTAAATTTTTTTATTTTTTATATTGATTTACTATTTCAAAAAAATCATTCAAGTTATGCACCTAATTCATTTTTAATATTATATAAAACAATTTAATAAATGATATTATATTATATAGTATAATTTATGATTTGTAATGAATGGTTTTGAAAATATCAAGTTTATAAAAAATGATTGCCTTATAATTTTATTAAAACTCGTCGACCAATTCGAAACTATAGAATGGTCACTTTTTTGTAAAACTCGGTTTTATGCAAAACCTATCTTGTTTTAATTAATTAATTAAATTAAATAGTTTCATTTTATTAATATTTATAATCTACCATAAGGCACAGTTTTATCTAATGAAGAGTGACCATACTCTATCATTTTTACATCTAGCATAAATGACTTTTATTTACACACATTTCTATTATTAATACTATAAACTATTAATTATTTTATAATTTTAATTGAATATTATTTTGTAACTTATATTTATAAGTTTATTAATTAATTGAAATAATATTTATGTATTATATATATTATAGTTATTTTATAATAAAGAATAGTTTAATCCTTTAAACTGTTCAAATTTCTTTTCCAATTCATTTTTCTGTGACTTCTTATAATTTAAACGAGTTCTTCTTCAAAATTCGTTCCATTTTATTAGTTCCGTCCAAAAACAGAAACAAAAATCAACCCAATCAATAAACAATCATTTCTTTGCTCTTCTGCCTTTCTTGTTCTTTTTATTTCTTAATTCAATCTGAGCTTCGACCTTTCTTTTCATAATTTCAAACTTCTTTTGTTTCTTCTTTTCCTTTTGTTCCATTCGATATTTTTCCTCGTTTCTTTTCTCTTCTTCGAGCACTTCCGGGTCGACCATTTTCTTATGTCGGGTGACCAACATCTTAACTTCGTGTTTCTTGTCGTCCACGACGTATTCAACTTCCTTCAAGTCATCGCTGTCCTCCTTCTCTTCTTTTCTAGTCGTTTTCTTTTTCGTCGCTTTCTTCACTTCTTTCTCCTCTTCGTCTTTCCCTTGTTTTCTGTTCTTCTCACTTCGCTCCTTCTCCTTCACTTTTTTTTTCCTCTCGTTCTCCCTTTGAATTTTCGTCTCATTCATCTCCTCTTCCTCGTTTTTATTCGCTCGAATCGCCTTCCCATCTGCCCTGTTAACCATACAATAGTATCCCCCCTGAAACCTATACCGACTATCAACTTTCGGTGTATTCGTCTTCCACGGAACTTCACATAACTTCCCCATCCCTTGTAGCATTGTCGGACTATAATACGTAGTCACTCCTACAGGTATCCGTTGATATGGATGTCTAGGATCATATTCTTTCTGAGAAGATATCGGTCCTAAACATTCACTTCGAACTCGGTAATACAACTCATCGCACTCCCTTCCATCTTCTTGATGGACATTACCTTTACACAATCGATTCGTAATAGCTTTATTTTGAATATATTCCTCGTGTTCTTTTAAATGCATTTCTTCGTGATTTTTTTGCATGATAGTGATTCCCCATTCATTATCAATGTCTGTGTCCTTAAGGGTATGAGTGCTGTTATATTCATTATCGTTTTGCATATCATTTTGCATTTCATTTTCTTCACATTTTTCTTCGCATTTGTCAGTTGTACTATCAAATACATTTGCATGTAATTGTATTCGGATATCATCAAGTTCATCTTCCCATGTATCATCATACATATCACTTATCTCATCATATCCAGTTGTCCCCTCCTGATTTCGAGTAGGCCATTCTTCCCCTCCAACAACTGGAGGCATGATCCCTTTCAAGCTTTCAAAGTATCCAATAAACTCCATTAAACTTAGTGAGATATTCGGCTTATTCGGGTCTACATCTTTCATTTCAAAATATGGAACACTCGTGTTAAATTCATTCTTTTCGTCTCGTATAATTTGCACGTCGTTGAACATTTTTATACTTTGGCGTTCATTTGATTGTTTGCACGACTTCCCAAGATCGATAATTCGTAAACCATTCAGCAGTGTTGTTTGCACATCCCCTGTTGTTCCCGATTGAACCGGTTCGATAAATTTCAATGTGATCATTGACGAATTGGACTCAATTGGTATCGGCTCTATTGCATTCGGAAGAGGAATTGTACCATCCAACATCGATTGTAATATCGGGTCATCTTTGTGTTCTTCATAAATTTGTTGCAGTGTCGGATCAAACTCAAAAATATTGATTTTATTGTCCATTTGCATTTGTTTCGGGTCTTCATTGACATCTTCTTCTTCCATGTTGTTGTTTGGGATGACCTCCATTTGATTTGACACATTTAAAATATTTGAAATATCGACGTGTTGATCGTCTTGTGTTATACAAGTATTCCTATTGACATTTTGAAATTCCATTCCTAAGCCATTTGAGTCATACAAATTGTATTTATCATTTCTTATTTCATTCAAATTATCGATATGAAGTGTAAGACTTGAATATGCTGTCTTTTGTGGTTGTTGTTGCATTTGATTTTGTTGATATTGTTGTTGTTGTTGTTGTTGTTGTTGTATTCCACTGAAGTTGTTAAAAGTAGTAAATTCTTGTGCATTAATCATTTGTCCATTATTCTGTTGTTGTTCCTGTAAAAGTGGCATTGGTTCCTCCATTTTTGTTATTATATTATTATTATAATTATAAATACCATTATTCATTCTCATTCCTTCTTGTAAATTCTTTTCAATGTGATTTTGAACATTAAAATTTCCCAAATCTGCAGTTTGTTGTACTTTAAACGTTTCTCGTGTATTTTGATTTGCGTTTCCATTAAATGTGTTCCTCGTTTGATTGATTACGACCGTATTTTGCTGTTGCGTATTTTGGGCACTTTGTTGCACTTGGCTTTGCAGTTCAAAATCAATTTGTGTGTTTCGATGCACTTCATTCAATTTTGCATCTTTTTGTTGCACACCTTTTTGGTCTTCTTTTTCATTCAATTTTTGAGACCATTGCATTTGGACCTTTTCGTTTATTTGTGTGTTTTGCAGTTGTTGTTTGCCGTCTACTTGTCCTTCTTGTTGCACATCAAGTCGTTCATTATAATAATTAGAAGGAAACTTTATCTCTTCAACATCAACACTTTTGAAACTTTCTTTACTCTCATTGTTAACTTTTGTTTGTGTTTCTCTTTGTAAAGTGTTTGGACGATACAGAAACGTTTCTTTTATTTGATCCAATTTCTTGGGTATACAGCTTTCCCCCCTCTTTTCAGTCATATTCAAGTCAACCACATTCTCTTCTGTTTTCCTTCCAATGCACCCATTTTGAATTTTCTTTATTGAATCACCACTTTTAAAATGATGCGGAATTATATTGTTATTTTGATAACATTTAATTGTTTTTTCCTCCTCTTTTTCCTCCCCAATTTGCTTTGTATTAACAAAAGATGATGATATTGACGTTCTCCTTTTCATTTCTTCTATTCTTTGGGTCAGTGACGATCTGTTCTCTCTCGACAACACACTTCCCGAAGTATTTCCATTCTCCTTCTCGTCCATTTGAATTCCACACTGTGAAATTGTTTGTATCGTTGATATTTGTGAAGGCATTCGATTTTCTATTTTTTTCAGAATTTCATCACACAACTTCTCACGAAAGGGACTGTCCCAATAACTTAACGAGTACCGCGACTCCTCTTTCAGTGCATTTTCCTTCATTTCCAAATCTTCTTGGTCTTCACTTTGGGTGTCACTGTATGTCGGGGAACTTTCCTCTTCATTTTCTTCTTCTCTTTTAATTTCCGTTTCGCTCTTTTCTGTTTCTTCTTGAATTTCACTGATTTGAGTTCCGCTATTTTTATCGTCCAATTCTTGTTCCAAATAAATTGAATTTTCATTTTGAGGACTTTTGCAGTGTTCTTTGTCATCAGTGGAGTCGGCAGAATACTTCAGAGTGTCTTTATTTTCAATGGAATCCAAATACGTTCTATAAATATCTTCGTCCACTTCTCTCTCGCTTTTTCTCTTCAAAAAAATTTCATTGAAATTAAAAAAATCGAAATTTTGGTGTTCGCACACGTCTTCTGTTTTTATAAGTTGTGGTGTGACAGACTTGTTTTGACAAAACAGTCTCGTGAGCTCCACATCGTCCATTTTTTCAATTTCAATATGAAGACGTCCATTTTCTGTTTCATTAATGTTTGGTAGAGACTCTCCAGAACCTTCACCTGTGTTCGCAGAAGAAGAAGAATTTGTAGCTTTGAATATTTCAGTTTCAGTGTTGAGAGGTGGGGAAGTGAGTTGTTTGTTTGCTGGTGCGTGTGTTACTATGGATTTATATGGGGAATGTAGTTTAAGACTTTTTGTTTCAATTTCCATTCGCCCATTATTTTCTTTCTTTCGTTGTATTTTTAGATCACTCGATTTGCTTTCTAACGGATTTTTTAATTCACTTTTGTATAAAAGACTCTCATTGCAGAGTTTCAAATGGGATATTGCACTTGAAGAGTTCTGACCATCAGGATGAGGGTGTACGACTATTTCTATGGATTTGGAAAGGGCTCTTGTTTGTAAAAACGATCCAAAGGATCTTAATAAGGAGCTGACCTCTTTGAACATGTTTTTGTATTTTAGTTTTCAAAAATTCTTTATTTCCTTTAAAATATTATTTGCAATTATTTTAACCGTTTTTTGAAAAAAAAATCAGTTACGATTTTACGATTTTACGTTATTAAAGTCCATTATTGTTTGTATAATTATAATATAATTACAAAATAAGTTGTGGTATAGTTTCATTCAGAATGGATATAAAGACTACATTATTTATTTAGTTCCATAAAAGTTAATTCAGTTCATAATTATATAAAAACTATACATCATTGATTAATAAATATTTATTAAGTTTATTATCAAGTTTAGTATTTTCAGGTCGTAACATCAAAATCTTTCAAAATTACAAAACACTGGAATTTCCAAAAAGAAAAAATTAAAAAATTAAAAATTTCTTTAGATTTAAATAAATGATTTTAAACAATAACTATACTTAAATTAGTTAAATAATTAACTACACGATAAGCT